TCAGTACCTTGCTACATACAACAAGAGCACAGAAGTCACAGAGCAACATTTGATTGATGGCTTATGAAGCAAACACAAAGGTATGTAACTAAAAAAAGTGTGTTTTCTCTTTAGTCAAAACGACTACTGCTTCCATTTATTAAAGCCACACCAAATTAAGATACTTGTATATGAATGTTATACGAATATGTAATAAAAAGCATACATAGCAGTAGACATCTAGAGTAAAATTACACTTGTTTGAATGAGAACTTCACTCAAACATAGATGAAATATACTGCAACAGCCCTGCCTGCAGGGGGAGGTGGAAGGAATAGCCACACAAGGGCACACCAGTACAGTTCCACAAGACACAAATCAGGCAAGGGGAATAAATTATTTTATTATATACTTTTGTGTGAAAGACTACGTTTCTGAAGTTGAGAAAAGTGACATTTTCATTGCAGTGAACATAACACACTGACGGAACTATTGTCATACAAGAGTTAACTCCCCTCAAATTGTCTCCCTTTATTGTAGGTGCCTGGACTCTACACAAACTGTTGACTTCCTTTTCAGGTCAGTTCCACATTGACAAGGCAAAACAAAGACAGATGGTCATTTATGGAGTTAATATAGCTTCTTACCGTTTGTTATTCTCTCAAAAATGTTTCGTTATTAACTGTAAATTTCTCATTTAACTCGTCAATCGAAACTGTTCATTTCGCAAATCTCCATTTTTGTTACTTGACCAGCGTGTATTTTTTCCCTTCCAACAGCAGTCTTGTAGTTTCAAGAATATTTTTGGTAAAAGTTGATTTTGTATATAATCATATCTAAATGTATGTTAGAGAATTTCTGTGACTTTAAATATTTTTTTATACTTTTGGTTATTTTTTTTAAGATTTGGCAAACACGAAATTACTTTTTAAGTTGCAAATACAAGGGTTGGTGAACCGTCCCTGTGTGTTAGATAGGGAGAATTTACAAGAGTTACCTCCGCTCAAAATGTCTCCCTTTATCATACGTGTCTAGCCCTAACACAAACTGTTGACGTCCTTTTAACGTCAGTTCCACACTGACAAGGCAAAATAATGACAGATGGTCATTTATGGAGCTAATATGACTTCTGTCTGTTTGTCTCTCAAAAATGTTATGTTATTAACTGAATTTATCATTTAACTCGTCAAAGCACCATTTATGTTACTTGACCAGCGTGTATTCCTACACTTCCAACAGTGATCTCGTAGCTTTCGAGGATATTTTTTTAAGTTGAATTTTGTATATAATCATATCAAAATGTATGATGAAGAATTGTAGTGACCTCAAATATTTTTTATTACTTTTGTTTTATGTTTTCTAAGATATTGCATACTCGGAACTTCTTTTTAAGTCGCAATTACAAGGTATGGTGAACCGACCAGGCAGGTGAGGTAGGGAGCATTTACATTTCAAGGTTTTACATTTGTAAAGAACAAAATAATTTTCTGGAAGACTACACAAAAGTATATAATAAATAGGATATTCCATGTGTCTCATGAAATATCGAAATATCTCTCATCGAGTGATGGGGGAAAGGAGATATTTTCACTTGTAGCTACACCCCTCTAAAAACATCTATTCTTACCCCTGTCACTCAATGAGAGAAACATATTTCACTCGACACATGAAATATCCTTGAAATTATGTTTATGCTCATTTGATCAATACAAGCATTAAAGTCAACCAGTTGTATGTCTTGTGAAGGGAAGACAAGATTCACATACAACTAAAGCAAGGCATCTGATAATATATACACCATACATGTTGGTTAATATATGAAGAACTACTCATATTCAAGAGACATTAGATTGGTTGATGCACAAATGAACATACAGTCATGTTGTGTGAACCAATGCTCATGATTGCATCACATGTGATGTCACAGATCCACGACTCGAGATGCACCATTTGTCTTGTGCAGGACTAACGTGGATGTCATGAGTGAGTGAGTGAGTGAGTTGGGTTTAACGCCGCTTTTAACGGTATTCCAGTTATATCACGGCGTGCCAGCTTAATGTGGGAGGAAAGCCCGAAGTGATGCAGGTCTAAGACGTTTACCACTTCGGTGAAACCCACGTGCACGGGTATGGTGCTGACAAACCTAGAAACATAATCGGGGCGAACCGGGATTCGAACCCACAATCATAGGTTTCTGGCGTGCCCAAGGGACGCAACTCTGCACAGCGAATCGCGGCGCCTTAGACGACTGGGCCACCCGTGCCCCCCGTGGATGTCGTGACAAGAATAAAGACTCTCTGTGGCAACTGTGATTGTTAGTTTTGTCATTAAGTGGTACACATTGGAGACATCTCTTCATGCTTCTCTACATGTGTCTATGGTCGCATTTTTTTTGGCAGTGAGTACGTATAGTTCTTTGGAAATAAAAACTCATTTTCCACGGAAACCGTTGCCTAATCAGTCATGAGAAAAGATTAAAAAATCCAAATAGAAAGGTATGAGATCGTTCTAAAAAAAATGTTTTTAAAATTGTCATTTTTTAACAATTCAACGTGTTTTGGGGGGAAAAGTAAACGAAGTGATTAAGAATAGAAGCCTAAAAAAAACTCAATTAAAATGAGTTATAAACCCAGAAAAAGATTAAATCTTACTTTCATAAATCTGAGATAATTCTTTAGAGTGAGTGAGTTGGGTTTAACGCCATTTTTAACAGTATTCCAGTTATATCGCAGCGTGTCAGCTTAATGTGGGAGGAAAGCCCAGACGTTTACCACTTCGGTGAAACCCACGAGCACGGGTATGGTGCTGACAAACCTAGAAACATAATCGGGGCGAACCGGGATTCGAACCCACAATCATAGGTTTCTGGCGTGCCAAAGGGACGCAACTCTGCACAGCAAATCGCAGCGCCTTAGACGATTGGGCCACCCGTGCCTCCTTAATTCTTTAGAAAGTGAGTTAAACTCATGACAGAATTATGATAAAGGCAACATTAATACATGATTGTAAAGCTAGGATGAGACAACACTGCACAGCCACTGCACAACAGGGAGTAAACCTGTGTCTGTCTGCAAGTGATAACAAGCTTTCACACAGGACTCCCTGACAACCTGGGAGCAGCCCCACAATCCATCACCCAAATATCTCAGTCATAATAGACATTTTTAACATCTGCAAACGGAAATTAAAAGGTCATAAACTGGACTGAAAACATGCATAAACTCTTGCAATAATACTATCATGCCATAACAGATTAACTATAGTAATACAAATGAATCGGGTGATCCTTAACTTTCTTTGAGTAGTATATATTTCTCCAATGAGTGAGGAGGACACTGACTGCTGATGCTAACCTACTTCAAATTGAACCGATGCTGGAAGGTGTTAAGTATGGATAACATATAAGGATGAACAACTTCCTCATTACAAAAGAATCTTGTCGTTACTTAGTACTCCAACTTCTAAATGCCTCTCAAAGAAGTGTTCTGGAACGTACTGACATGAAAACAGGTCTCTCCTAATCCAGGATGGTAATGCTGATATCACGTTTATGTTTTGAAATACAGCTTCTTGTACGGTAATATTTAAACAGCCCTAAAGCAGGTGTGGCAATTCATTTTGATAACAGACTAAAATGATGTGATTATTGTTTTGTAAAGTGTCTGATGCCTTGGAACTTCATATTTGGTTCTTCTCTTTCCCATTCCTTGTAATGACATGTAAAGTATTGACATGACAGGTAAAGTATTGACATGACAGGTAAAGTATTAACATGACAGGTCAAGTATTGACATGACAGGTAAAGTATTGACATGACAGGTAAAGTTTTGATATGACAGGTAAAGTATTAACATGACAGGTAAAGTATTGACATGACAGGTAAAGTATTGACATGACAGGTTAAGTATTGACATGACAGGTAAAGTTTTCACACGGCAGGTAAAATATTCACACGACAGGTAAAGATCATGCCATCAGTCACTTAAAGGTGGACTGTGCTCAGAGGTCTAGATGTGAAGCTGGGAGGTTGTTGTCCCTGTCAACTATACTGCTTCAAGTACACTGATTTAGGTATACTGCTTCAAGTATACTCCTTCAAGTACACTGATTTAGGTATACTGCTTCAAGTATACTGCTTCAAGTACACTGATTTAGGTATACTGCTTCAAGTACACTGATTTAGGTATACTGCTTCAAGTATACTCCTTCAAGTACACTGATTTAGGTATACTGCTTCAAGTATACTGCTTCAAGTACACTGATTTAGGTATACTGCTTCAAGTACACTGATTTAGGTATACTGCTTCAAGTACACTGATTTAGGTATACTGCTTCAAGTATACTGATTTAGGTATACTGCTTCAACTATACTGCTTCAAGTACACTGATTTAGGTATACTGCTTCAAGTATACTGCTTCAAGTACATTGATTTAGGTATACTGCTTCAAGTATACTGCTTCAAGTACACTGATTTAGGTATACTGCTTCAAGTATACTGATTTAGGTATACTGCTTCAACTATACTGATTTAGGTATACTGCTTTAGGTATACTGCTTCAAGTACACTGATTTAGGTATACTGCTTCAAGTATACTGATTTAGGTATACTGCTTCAGGTATACTGATTTAGGTATACTGCTTCAAGTATACTGCTTCAAGTATATTGATTTAGGTATACTGTTTCAAGTATACTGATTTAGGTATACTGCTTCAAGTATACTGATTTAGGTATACTGCTTCAAGTACACTGATTTAGGAATACTGCTTCAAGTATACTGATTTAGGTATACTGCTTCAAGTACACTGATTTAGGTATACTGATTTAAATATACTGCTTCAAGAATACTGACATAAGTATACTGCTTCATATATACATGTTACCTGGCAGAGATAGTTCATTGGAACAACTTGAATCAAACGTGCTTGGATTGCACCTTGTTAAGAACTGCTTCAGGGCTGACATTCCAGCTGTTCACAAAGTTCCAGCAATGAGCCACAAAAATGTCATGTGACATAGCACTAGTGAAAATTAATTTATTCCAGAAAAAAGTTGACCTCACCTTACTGCCATCAAAGTTTGTCGTACTTTTCTGTTTTCAAGTTTTTCTCCTCAATAAGTTAATATACAGGCACACACTGATATGTAATAACGCAAGGGAAAACAACACATTTTTGCCTTTATAGCTATTATTAACATCAACAGTACCAAATTCACAAATAATAAATAAACACAAAATCAGGTCAGCTGTTTCATAAAATATTACTTGATAAATGCAAACAAGTATACATTATTGGAAAAGACTAAAAACTATTAAAAACTTTTACCAAAACAATAATTTTACAAACCAATATATCACAATACTGACATTCCCATCACTTAAAAACCAATATCTGGCGACAATGTATCACAACCAACAACTCTACTCAGCCAGGTACACACTCAAAGAGACATGCAAGTAACCATGGTAACATACAGTTTATCCTAAAGCCTACCATGATGTAGGAAATTTGTATTGTTATATTTGATTAACATATTCATGATATTAACATAGGATAATCTATACAGTGACACAAAGCAGTAGTTGTAGGTTGTAGTCACAGCAAACACAACCACAATCCTACACTACCCAATCCCTGGACAGTTTAACTATAGTAATATGAAAGAATCGGATGGTCCTCCCCTTGTTTCAGCAATATGTCACAGCTGACAATATTTCTAAAACTGTTCTCCAAACTAAGCAGGTTCCAGACCTTGCTGAGACAGTAGTTGACAACAGTTACAGTATGCCGATGATGCACAGTGCAATTCAGAGCTATTAATGTAAGGATATGAATCCCTGAATCTTTCAGTCTTTGAATCTATGAATCCTTAAATACATCTGCATTCTGGAGCAGCTGTTTCTCCTTCACTAACTATTTCTTCGTCCCTGGATAAAATACTTTCAGTAACCATTCAGAAATCAGTTTGTTCGTCCCTGAACGTTCCTTAAATCAGTCCCCACTTATTGAAATGGAACTCGTACAGACGATTCACGGTCGATATTGAGGCACCCCTGAACGGACGCATCACAGCCGATATCGAGGTACCCCTGTACGGACGTGTCACGGCCTTTATCAAGGGACCCCTGTACGGACGTGTCACGGCCTATATCAAGGGACCCCTGTACGGATGTGTCACGGCCTATATCAAGGGACCCCTGTATAGACGTGTCACGGCCTATATCGAGGTACCCCTGTACGGACGTGTCACGGCCTATATCAAGGGACCCCTGTACGGACGTGTCACGGCCTATATCAAGGGATCCCTGTACGGATGTGTCACAGCCTATATCAAGGGACCCCTGTACAGACGTGTCACGGCCTATATCGAGGTACCCCTGTACGGACGTGTCACGGCCGATATCGAGGTACCCCTGTACGGACGTGTCACGGCCGATATCGAGGTACCCCTGTACGGACGTGTCACGGCCTATATCAAAGAAGGCCCCTGTACAGACCTGTCACGGCCTATATCGAGGTACCCCTGTACGGACTTGTCACGGCCTATATCAAGGTACCTTTGTACAGACATATTACAGCCTCGCCGAGCGACCCGTCTAGCCCAGTCAGCAGTCTGTGCGGCCTCCCTGCACCGCCAACATCACCTGTCTGCTCCTGTATCCAGGCCGAACATCTTCTTGGCCGTCTCGTATGTACTGAATGACACAGCCACCATGGGCATCACCCTCAGGTAGTTGACTGTCAGACCGCGGTACAGGCCATGCCAGATGCCATTCTCCTTGTATACGATGTACAGCGTGTTGGGCCAGCCGCTGAAACACATGTCATGCTTTGAGTATGGAATGTGTCTACCTGTTGTACCTGTGTGAGTCAGGTGTGGAAATGTGTCTACTAGTTGTACCTGTGTGAGTCAGGTGTGGAAATGTGTCTACTAGTTGTACCTGTGTGAGTCAGGTGTGGAAATGGGTCTACTAGTTGTACCTGTGTGAGTCAGGTGTGGAAATGTGTCTACTAGTTGTACCTGTGTGAGTCAGGTGTGGAAATGGGTCTACTAGTTGTACCTGTGTGAGTCAGGTGTGGAAATGTGTCTACTAGTTGTACCTGTGTGAGTCAGGTGTGGAAATGTGTCTACCTGTTGTACCTGTGTGAGTCAGGTGTGGAAATGGGTCTACTAGTTGTACCTGTGTGAGTCAGGTGTGGAAATGTGTCTACTAGTTGTACCTGTGTGAGTCAGGTGTGGAAATGGGTCTACTAGTTGTACCTGTGTGAGTCAGGTGTGGAAATGGGTCTACTAGTTGTACCTGTGTGAGTCAGGTGTGGAAATGTGTCTACCTGTTGTACTTGTGTGAGTCAGGTGTGGAAATGTGTCTACTAGTTGTACCTGTGTGAGTCAGGTGTGGAAATGTGTCTACTAGTTGTACCTGTGTGAGTCAGGTGTGGAAATGTGTCTACTAGTTGTACCTGTGTGAGTTAGGTGTGGAAATGTGTCTACTAGTTGTACTTGTGTGAGTCAGGTGTGGAAATGTGTCTACCTGTTGTACCTGTGTGAATCAGGTATGGAAATGTGTCTACTAGTTGTACCTGTGTGAGTCAGGTGTGGAAATGTGTCTACTAGTTGTACCTGTGTGAGTCAGGTGTGGAAATGTGTCTACTAGTTGTACTTGTGTGAGTCAGGTGTGGAAATGGGTCTACCTGTTGTACCTGTGTGAATCAGGTGTGGAAATGTGTCTACTAGTTGTACCTGTGTGAGTCAGGTGTGGAAATGTGTCTACTAAATGTACCTGTGTGAGTCAGGTGTGGAAATGTGTCTACCTGTTGTACTTGTGAGAGTCCGGCAGCATGATGGACACCTGCAGACGTCGCCGGACGACATCCAGAGGGTAGCTGCAACACACCAATGAAAACAACACTGACTCACAACCAAGCAGTATCAACACATACGCAAGTAACTGACACAGTCATATTCCCAGACAGTCACTGAGTTCCATACCACTGTCGGACAACCAATAGATTTAAACTCTTCATTTGTGTCAGCTTAAATCCTGCCTGTTACCATGGTTACAATGTGTGTCAGTTCTCTGTTGAGAAAGAGTTGAAACAGCTGTGTACAACCCGAGTCAACAAAGGGCAGTCTCGTCACAGATCTACGTACGCTACAGTCTGAGATATGGCTCTACGTACACTACAGTCTGAGATATGGATCTATGTACACTACAGTCTGAGATATGGATCTATGTACGCTACAGTCTGAGATATGGCTCTACGTACGCTACAGTCTGAGATATGGATCTATGTACACTACAGTCCAGGGTTCCGGAAACCGTCATATGCGCCGGACATGTCCGATTGGGAATCTCAAATGTCCGTTTTAAAATATTGCTTACCGGACATTTTAAAAAGTATTGTCCGGACATTCTTAAATTTTGACCGGACATGATCAACAGTTAGGACTGAGCAGTTTCTGTCTGCAGTTGCAACACAATGAAGATTAACTACACTGACAAGCTTTGTTTGTTTTGATTGCTGTAAATACATCGTACCTACATGATAGTCCAATCGGTCAATCACTGTAATAGGCAATAAACTGAGTTGACACTGATTAATTGAGGATTAATTACTGAGAAAATCTTGTTAATTTGAGTGAAAGGTGTTTACAACTGTACATTAATACCTTGCATCATCGATGTACCTCATTATCCTCACACTGCTACGATACGTAACCTCAAACAAGAAGCGAAAGCGTGACGACAGCCAGTCGACCGATGCAGATCAGTCGAGCGGATCTGCAAAACCCTCAAAGTCTGGACGATCATTTTGTAAGTCGTGGCTAACGGCTTTCACTTGGTTGACATACAATGAGGATTTGCAGATTTTATTTTTTTCAGTAGCTAGTCGTATATTGAATCTTGATTGACCGCCATTTTGCTTTCTCGGACGATCGATATCCAATTTTTTTATGGTCAATAATTAAGTACAGATGAAAAAAGTATTCAAATAACTATTGCTATCAACGATATTTTAGTATTTGTGATTAAATTATCTGTCTTGTTTTTAAAAAAATCTTAAGTTTAAAAAAACACTTTTCCCGTGAGGTCACGTGATAACCAAATATGGGATAATAGTCTCGATCCAAATGTTACAACGCGTACACTTGAGCAGACTCATGAATATAACTCATGAATATTAATTAGACCGTTCACTACGTTAATAGATCGTTATTATAACAGAAACAAACGTATGTTTTCCATGTAAATCTAAAATGATATTATTTGTTATTAATTGTCCGGTGAATTAAACAATTTAAATTGAAACAATTCATAATTCATCATATTATGAATACGTAAACTTGTAATGTGTGTGAAAAGTCGTACTAAAATACGCTATTTGAAGGGGGCGTGGCCTAAATGCAAATGTCCGATTGGGATTTTAAATTTTCCGGACCCCTGCTACAGTCTGATACAGATCTACTTATGCTACACTCTGATACAGATCTACTTTTGCTACAGTCTCATCACAGATCTACGTACGCTACAGTCTCATCACAGATCTACGTACGCTACAGTCTGAGATGGATCTACTTACGCCACAATCTGATACAGATTTACTTATGCTACAGTCTGATACAGATCTACTTACGCCACAGTCTGATACAGATCTACTTATGCTATAGTCTGATACAGATCTACTTACACTACAGTCTCATCACAGATCTACTTATGCTACAGTCTGATACAGATCTACTTACACCACAGTCTGATACAGATCTACTGACCCCACAGTCTGATACAGATCTACTTATGCCACAGTCTGATAAAGATCTACTTATGCTACAGTCTGACATATGGATCTACTTACGCTACAGTCTAAGATATAGATCTACTTACGTTACAGTCTTAAATATTGATCTACTTAGGCTACAGTCTGAGATATGGATCTACTTAGGCTACAGTCAAAGATGGATCTACTCACACTACAGTCTGAGAAATGGATCTACTTACGCTACAATCTGAGATATGGATCTACTTACGCTGCAGTCTCAGTTGCATCTACTTACAGTCAGAGATGTGGTTCTACTTACGCTACAATCTGAGATATGGATCTACTTATGCTACAGTCTGAGATGCGGATCTACTTACGCTGCAGTCTCAGTTGCATCTACCTACACTACAGTCTGAGAAATGGATCTACTTACGCTGCAGTCTAAGATATGGATCTACTTATGCTACAGTCTGAGATACCGATCTACTTACACTACAGTCTGAGAAATGGATCTACTTACGCTCCAGTCTAAGATATGGATCTACTTACGCTACAGTCCAAGATGGAACTACTTATGCTTTTGTCTAAGATGGACCTACTTACGCTACAGTCCAAGATGGATCTACTTATGCTAGTCAAAGAGAAAAGAGGTACTTACGCCACAGTCTGCGATACAGCCCCTGCCAATCCACCACAGATAAGCTTTGCAGGAAGAGTTAGAACCAAACCTCCGGTATTCTCGGGGCATGGAGAACCCAAGTGATCGGGAAACTTGTCCAGGAAAAAGTTCTTCAGTGTTTCAAAACTATAGAAGGACAGACCTGAAAGATACATAGTCTCTCACTGGACAATATCTGACACATGTGACCAGATGAACACGCTTTAAGGAAAACTCCTGATAATGTGCAGTGAACACAAATGCGTTCCAGATACACAAAACTATTCACCACACATCTAGAATACGACAGTCATAATCTGTCATTGTTTCCAGGTCAGCATCACAAACAAAGGAACGAGAAGCACCTTGATACTGGATGGTGAGTACTTCCAGATATTGACTACTACAAAGCAGCGGGTACTCAACATTCGGTACGTTTCTCATACATAAGAGAATCTAATGTAGGTCTGTGGTTGTTGACTTGATTCCTCAAAAGTATTAGGGGCGGTGGGGTAGCCCCATGGTTAAAGTGTTCACTCGTCCCGCCAAAGATCCGGGTTCGATTCCCCACATGGGAACAATGTGTGAAGCCCATTACTGGTGTCCTCTGCCGTGATACTGCAGCAATATTGCTAAAAGCAGCGTTAAACAATACTCACTCACTCAAAAGTAATATGCCTCAAGTCAAGTCTATACTCAGTTACCTACCTACCTACCATATCCAGCAGCTGTAAGCACATGATCCCTTCTTTCCCTCACAACCAGTACGTACCTGCATATGGTGCCATTCCCAGGACAGAAGGAACGATTCCCCGGTACAGGGCCTTGAAGCCTCCCTCTGCACTGACGATTGAACGGAACGTGTCCACCAGGCCCTGGTACATGTGTTCCCCCTTCACCTGGAACGCCAGTCGCGCGCGGATCATATCCAGTGGATAGGTGAAGAGTACAGACGTCAGACCTGAAGGTTGGAACAGTCATCATAATAACCCATCATTCAGTTTTACAAGCCAGTTACCTTCATTTATAAACCTATTCATTGGGATCGCTATTAAGTAAGAGACTTCTTTCTATAGGCATTAAAACCTATTGTGAGGTTTTACTTTCCAGTCTGGTTAAATCTCATAAACAGGGACGTCGTAATGTCCTTGGGATTTTATATAATATCCCTGGGATTTTATATAATATCCCTGGGATTTTATAGGATATTCAAGTCATATTTGCTATAATATCCCAGGGATTTTATATAATGTAACCTCCGTTCAGATTGAAACATGTAATGAAATGTAAAATCAAACGACAAATGTTTTCTTTATATTCCCGAGGATCGAACTCGCAACCTTCATATCTGTAGCCCAGTGAGTGTACCACGAGGCTTGATAAGTGTTGATAAGCCACACTGGTTTTTAGAATGTGCTTTTCAAGATCCGTACGCCAGCAACAGATATTTTACGCGCGTTTCCTAAGGTTCATGGAAAGTATGTTCGAAACATAAAAATGTTGATAAATGTTGTTTTAAGTTTCTTTTTTCGGTTTATAAGTATGGAAAAACACTTCCCTCGGTTTTGGTAGACAGAGCATGCCCAGGGAGTCGGGAAAAAATGCGGAGGCTTCGCCCCCCTTGGTTTTTCCCTCTCCCCAGGGCATGCTCTGTCTACCAAAACCTCGTAAGCGTGTTTTCTCCAATACGTAAGGACCAATACTCTCAGGGAAAAGACCAAACCTAGAGTTTGTTTGTTTGATGCATATCACCACACTCTGCAATGTTCTAACTACATAACAGCAGTTCATAAATAGTTGAGTCTGGACCAGACAATCCAGTGATTGATATCATGAGCATCAATCTATGCAATTGGCATATGATGATGTGCATCAATCAAGTCATGGGTGAAAAGGATTCAAGGGAGGGTCAACAAAAAAGATGACAGTCGTAAACAATAACACACATATCATGAGGATCATGAAAAAATGTAAAAGGACATGGAGAGTAAGTATGACAAGTATTAGGGGAAGGTCATATTAGTGCATCAAACACCTCTGACCCCCCTCTGTAATATGACCCGCCCCTTTTATCTCCACTCTATTGTGGCAAACCCATGACTCCTCCAGCACCAAAGTTTTCATTTGGGAAGTGACATCCCCATTCCATCTCTTTGGACATACCTGTCAGGATGTCTCCCTCATCCAATGTCTCCTATCAGGATGTCTGTCTCCCTCCACCCGTGGGATTTGACTGTGTGACTAGCTTTACATGGTGTCCTTCACAACACACTTAACACAAGCCCATGGTAGCCAATAGGTTCAAAGTATTAATCATAATGGCATGTGGCCACAATACACTGGACAATCAAGGATGGAGACTAATGAAGTACCTGCTAGAGATCCAGACAGCAGCTTCACCACATGAGGGGATATCGCAAATGTCTTTATGAGCTGAAAAGGTCAAACAATCTTTCATGAACACATTTACATGCATCATAAAAACAGAAGTATGTAGCAAAATCATGAAAAACATAGGTGATTGCATCAATGATTCTTAGTCCCTAAAGACACCTAGGCAATGTGTACCATCTAAAGACACCTAGGCAATGTGTACCATCTAAAGACATCAAGGCAATGTGTACCATCTAAAGACATCAAGGCAATGTGTACCATCTAAAGACATCAAGGCAATGTGTACCATCTAAGGACATCAAGGCAATGTGTACCATCTAAAGACACCTAGGCAATGTGTACCATCTAAAGACATCAAGGCAATGTGTACCATCTAAAGACATCAAGGCAATGTGTACCATCTAAAGACACCTAGGCAATGTGTACCATCTAAAGACATCAAGGCAATGTGTACCCCCTAAGGACACCTAGGCAATGTGTACCATCTAAAGACACCTAGACAATGTGTACCATCTAAGGACATCAAGGGTATGTGTACCATCTAAGGACATCAAGGCAATGTGTACCATCTAAGGACACCTAGACAATGTGTACTATCTAAAGACATCAAGGCAATGTGTACCATCTAAGGACACCTAGGCAATGTGTACCATCTAAAGACATCAAGGCAATGTGTACCATCTAAAGACACCTAGGCAATGTGTACCATCTAAGGACACCTAGACAATGTGTACTATCTAAAGACACCTAGGCAATGTGTACCCCCTGAGGACATCAAGGCAATGTGTACCATCTAAGGACACCTAGGCAATGTGTACCATCTAAAGACATCAAGGCAATGTGTACCATCTAAAGACACCTAGGCAATGTGTACCATCTAAGGACACCTAGACAATGTGTACTATCTAAAGACACCTAGGCAATGTGTACCCCCTAAGGACATCAAGGCAATGTGTACCATCTAAGGACACCTAGGCAATGTGTACCATCTAAGGACATCAAGGCAATGTGTACCATCTAAAGACACCTAGGCAATGTGTACCATCTAAGGACACCTAGACAATGTGTACCATCTAAAGACACCTAGGCAATGTGTACCCCCTAAGGACATCAAGGCAATGTGTACCCCCTAAGGACACTGAGACAATCTTGCAGAATTATGACATAATTAAATCTAAACAAACCCTAACCTTTTTTAACCGAGGTGGAACTTGTCATGGAAATTGCAAAAAGAAGAAGAGTTTGGAACCTTAGTCCATCTTGTTGCCATGGAAACGTAAAAAGTAAAAGTTTCTAAAATTTCTAAATAGCAAAAGGCACCAGTTCAGCATGTACCTGACAAACCTGCAAAGTTTCATGAAAAATTATTGAACGGTTTCTGAGTTATGCTCCAGAAACGAAATGTGACGGACGGACGGAGCCTGTTTCTATATATGAAATAACTCACCTTCCTATCAGTAGTCGGACAGTACACTGATACATCGGTGGATCGCAATATTTTCAATCCGTCGCACACAAAGGAATAATATCAATCCATACCTTAAAAGTTTGGTTTTATAACTGTTACACCAAGCACCAATTGATAGTGAACATCAGTAGTGGAACCAAAATATTTTCATCCATTGAGTCATAGTTGACACTGCCATCTTTTAATCATCAGTGTGGCTTACGCACCACAGACAACAGCACATGCAAGTATCATGATTCATATCGGATCATGAGCAAAGTATCAAGATAAGCATTGGATCACACTGTCTGTGTATCGTCCTAGCCCTCCTTCCTATACTGTATTCGGTCAAACAGCACCCGTGAAGATCCAGGTAAGAATTTTTTCTAATGGGATTGGATGGTCAGGCTCACAGACTTGGCATGTCAGTGATGTCAATCACTGGATTGTCTGGTCCAGATGCATGTCATCGTATCCCAATTGCGTAGATCGATCCCCATGATATCATTATCAATCACTGGCTTGTCTGGTCTAGATGCATGTCATCATATCCCAATTGCGTAGATCGATGCCCATGATGTTAATCACTGGCTTGTCTGGGCCAGACTTGATTATCATACAGCTGGAATATTGCTGAGTGTGGTGTTAAACAACAATCAATCAAACAATCAACCAAGGACATAGCTCACCTTCTTATACTGCTCATATGACATGTACTGAATGGCTGCATAAGGAAATATTCTCAGCATCTGGACACCATTGCCCTTGTAGAGTCCGGAGAAGCCTTCCTTGTGGACCACCTGCTTCAGCGTGGAAAACACACCTAGCAGAGGAAACATCAGAGTTGCTAGCCATGATATATACAGGAGTGACACATCATGGATCATCCAGTGTATTATATATCCATTCTATTCAGATAAATACCCAGACAATATAATGGCGCTGTTTTGAGCCCAACTTAAATTACATGACTCTAAAAATAGCCATCCAATCAATTTGCAAGAGAAATTCTGTGCAAAGTAAGTGATGAGTGATTGAAATTGTAACATCACTTCTAAAATGAAGTGGTGAATGGGACCAGTGTATTTACCATATTAAACTGGAGTCATGATACCCTGGGTAATCAAGGATGAGAATGAGTGAGTCAGCGGTGTTTCATGTTTATTTTAAAGGTCGTTCACACCAACTAGGCCACCTAGTGGTTGATAGTGTCAACATCACTTATCCTTATCAGGACCAATTAAAATAACTCAAATCACAAGTTATGCCTGAGGGTCCTTCATGTTTGTGTCATGCCCTAACCTAACCAAGCACCAGTGAGAATATATATCACAATGTTGCGAAACCAGCATATGTTGCAGTATAATGCATGATGCACGATCTAGAACATCCACATGATGAAGTAACCTCCCAAACTACAGTGTTTCAGTCAACGTGCCATCTGTTCACTCACCTAGATGTTTATAGTGCTTGTTGTGGGCCTGCAGCAGAATCTACAGTGTTTCAGTCAACGTGCTATCTGTCCACTCACCTAGATGTTTGTAGTGCTTGTTGTGGGCCTGCAGCAGAATCTACAGTGTTTCAGTCAATGTGCTATCTGTCCACTCACCTAGATGTTTGTAGTGCTTGTTGTGGGCCTGCAGCAGAATCTTCACTCTGTCCAGAGGCGCCACTGTGGTCTTCGCACAACATCCTGCAAGTCCTGTTTCGAAAATAAAACAAACCTACATGGCCGGAAGATCATGATTATGTCAGTGATAGTTGACTAGGTATAGTAACATTTCCGTAAGATTTGACATCGCTTGGCTCGTTATACTACTAAGGGGAAGGCCAAAGTAGACACAATTTATGGATAACAACTTCTTTCATTTACTGTAATAGCGATGTTTCGGTATCGATCCTTATAGCGTTGTCAAGCAAGGGTGAAACATTAACATGGGACAGAAAATATATAGTAGGTGGAGGTATATATTCTGTACCATGTCCATTATTCAGCTGGTTGTGTAGCATTAGATCTACAATGTCTACTGGTTGTGTAGTATTAGATCTACAGTGTCTACTGGTTGTGTAGTATTAGATCTACAGTGTCTACTGGTTGTGTAGTATTAGATCTACAGTGTCTACTGGTTGTGTAGTATTAGATCTACAATGTCTACTGGTTGTGTAGTATTAGATCTACAATGTCTACTGTTTGTGTAGTATTTGATCTACAATGTCTACTGGTGGTGTAGTATTAGATCTACAATGTCTACTGGTTGTGTAGAATTAGATCTACAATGTCTACTGGTTGTGTAGAATTAGATCTACAGTGTCTACTGGTTGTGTAGTATTAGACCTACAATGAGTTACAATGGATTATATTGAATTAATTTGTTAGCAGTGGTGAGATAGCTAACCCAGCAACAATGCAGTTTACCAGGCACAGCTTAAATAGAGCTAACTGGCTCAGGCTGCTGGCTGTGACTCATGCTTCACAGATCTCAATCCCTTGGGGTAGTTGTGTTAAGGTTAGGGTGGTTACCCCCAACTCTATCCTCAGCCCTTGGATGTCCTTTCAGATCCCCCTCCCCCCTCCTTTACAATCAGGTTAGGTACCCCTTTCCAATCAAACCTTCCCTCCCCCTCACGGTCCTTAGTGTTGGGCATCACTCGCCAATCAAACATCGCTTTAGGATCTTTAGGGTAAGGTAACCCTTTACAACCCATAGGGTTAGTTGTGGGGTAGGGTATGAGTCAGCTATCTCTTTTAGTGAATTATTTAATTCAATGTAATTTGATGGAAATTCCTTATGTTCATATCCAGTCTTGAATTTTGCAGAAAATTGGCTACTGCTCATAAAGTTAAACAATCAAGTGCTGATCACTTGGTAAATGAGCACTAGTTAATTGTGATAGTGGCCATGGTCCCAAGGTCCTAAGGTCCCAAGGTAAAGGGTTGACTAACTGGATTAACTCATTAGTCTAGCTTAGCTTTAAGTTGGCAATGTGAGTTGGATCCTCCACATAGGGCCCATGGACTAATCCAGGCTGTCAGTCAAAACTGGTGCATGCCTGGGACTCATGACATTTTTTTAAAACAAAAGTAACAAATTAATTTTAATTTGCATTGTTTTTATTTGTTTGCAAGTTAATAGATTCGGCGTACTGCAGACCCTCTGTTCAGATAATTTTGCCATCACAGGCTTCCTTCTTCTGGAAGATGGATCTAGTTGCTTAGCAATAACCATGACAACTACATGTGCTGACTTTACCTTGGATCATCTCCAATGTTGTCACATACATGATGTCACAATACTGGCAGTTCATTAAGTTCAATATTCTGAAAGTGTGATCAGGGATTTGTATCTAAATCTAGGTTTCAAACTAAGTGACAAACAAATTTGAAAAAAGTGATTTGTCCAAAATTGGGAATACCTAACTTATTATTTCCTTAATTCTGAGTTTTTTAGGATGGCAAACACATGATGAAACTTTTGAAGGAGGAAATTTGACAGACATTTGCTGCAGGTCTGGTGATGAATATCAACCTCTGAGCAGACCTAGATACATCCCTGATAAGCATACCCAATGACATGTATTTATTTATCATAAAAAATGCCCAATGTGGCAGAGAGTGGAAATACTTTACTGCTTTTGGTTTTATTAACTATTCTAATATTTGTATTCATTAAAAAAGCAACTTCTCTGATTTCAGGTTATGTGGTGAACTTAGAGCATCAGAGGCAATGTAACTGTTGACTATCTATTTATAGATATCCACATGACTCGCAACTTGCTTGTGCTTGCATTTATGGTCTCCATAAATTATGATGGGATGTAAAAAGCAAAATTTAATTTGTAACCCATGGATGAAACGAGGACAGAAGCTAGGGGCCGGGACTTATCATTCGAGACAGGTTCAGTCGATTGAAATCCGAAAAAGGTGTGCTGGTAAAGTGAATATCCCTATGGATAGTGAATGGGTGTCTGATTGGAAATCTTGATGATTGTAACAGGTGCTTGATCAGAAAGTGGATCCAAGGATAGAGTTGGGGATAACCTACCCTAACACAACTAGGATCAAAAAGGCATGTGAGATCAGTAGGACAAGAGCCTCATACCTGGGGTCAGGTAGCTCTAAACTTGCTGTACCAGACAAACTACAATCCTGTCTATTTTCCTATACTGTGAGTTTTGACTTTGGATTCCATGGTCGCTTTCACTAATTTCAGACATGTCTGTGTTGACTTGATCCCCTGGGTTCTCACTGTGTAAAAGGAAACAATCCATTCACAAACTGGACTACAGAAACCATGTAACTAATATTAATAATAATAATAATAATAATAGTCTCGTCTGCGATTTTTTGTTGTTGCGAGTTTGATTTTTATAATTATTAGCAGTTGCATGGTCCTGTCACTGGACTCACCTCCAGACACAAACGTTTTCAGGATGACATCCAGGTTCTGTTTGGTTGACGGATCCATGTCACTCCATTGTCAGGCAGACACACCTACATCAAGTCATGTCCTTATGTTACCGGACTACGTGTGGTAAGTCACAACTTGAAGCCGGTTAGGCCTATGGCAAATGTGGTTTAAAACCCCTGCCTTTCGTGACTTCCTTATTTACTCTTGCATGGTCATCAAATTCTACTATACAATTAACTACGAAAATTATATCCGTGTTCGAAATTCGGATTCAGAAAGGGTGTCTGTGGCTACTATGATAGAAGCAGATGAAGGGCCATGGTGTGTCCCGGTGATCTGCAGGGCAGCTTGTCAAACAGGGGAGAAAGGTTACCGGAAGTAAACAAAGAGACAACTCACGTAAAGCTGGGCCCCGTCTTTCATATCGCAATATATCTTGGCGTAAGTTGACGTCGCGCATAGGGAGCCGGGAACTAGGTTACGTATGATCAGCTGCTGATAGTTCGAATATAAACAGCTGATAATAAAGTGTGTTTTACAAGTCAAAACTGATATTTATATAACTTTAATGGTGTTTAGTGTAAATAATTACCACTGGACACTGCGTGAATACATAAGTTGTTTCAGTAAAATATATCCTACGAAAGTAAACTTTAAAATAAAAATCAACATGGCGGAACTTGCAGCAAGACGTGACGCAAGAAGACGAAAAATTCTTCAAAATTCAGAAAATCGATTGAACAGGCTGCTGGGGAAGCCGATCGATACTGAACAGGGTGAGTGTGCCTTTTCGTTATAATTTTCAAAATTGGCAAATTACTTCGCCAACATGCATTGGTGCATTTTTTCTTCAAGATTGTTTTGTTTTCGCTTGCTGCGATGCTTGGACTGTTTGAGTACCAAATCATCTTGGCCTATCTAGATAACATGCACCAGTTTGTTTTGAGAATGATTTTTATATCACCCCACAGGTATGTCACATATATATAACACAGAGTTTGGGGATAAAATCATCTGTTTATCAGTACATGCTTGAAAATGTAGAACCATTAAAATTTGATGGTAAGACTTCCGCCCGTATCCCCCAAAAACATCATAAAGAATTAATAGGGAAGAAACTCTAGATCTGACACAGACAATCATTTACAATGCTTATAGATGTTATCTCTGCCTGGCATTATGATCACTTGTTGACGACTCTGATCAACTCAAACTTCAACAAACACTTTATATCAATCAAAACGGTCTTTACTACGACATCGCCAAATAACAACTGCCGCCTCAACTGCTATCACCACTTACGTCATCAGCTATCTCACCATAGTTTCCAGTACCTAGAACTTACAAAGTTCAGAATACTTACACAAGAATGACAGCTCGCGTATCCACGGATGTCGCCATGTCAGGTCTTGTGATTAACTATACTACACTACATAAGATGAGTATTGGCATAAAATATTCCAATTAATTCCCCATTACCAATTAATTTTGCTGACCTATGATTAGGGGTTCAAATCCCTAGTTCGCCCCGATTATGTTTATAGGTTTGTCAGCACCATACCTGTTCTCATGGGTTTCGCCAAAGTAGTAAACATCAAAGAGTAAGACCTGCATTACATTGGACTTTCCACCCACATCAAGTTGACACACTGTGTTATAACTAGAATACTGTTCAAAGCTGTGTTAAACGTAACTCACTCACTAAGTTTGACTACCTTTAGAAATGCTTGTGTACATGTTTGCAAGAAAACAACTAAAAAGGACAACTGTATAACCATGATAACATGAACAATAACATGAATATTGTGTAATTGTCCAAATGTAGTCTTGCAGCTAGCGTACTTATGTTTTCAGATCTTTATTTACAGTCATCACATATTTAACATCTTCCTGAGGCAAGGGAGTTAACGGACAGGATTACAACCTTGTCAAACTGAACTGGAATTTTGTGGCTCGATCGCAGCATCACCAGTTGCGATTACGGGTTATTTCTCTTCTATGTCCCAATTATTGACCAATCAGATTCCACCACTCATATCACTTGCATTAGCATCAAACAAAATGGTGGCGCTCAGTCAAGACGATGTGATTGATAATTGTAATCATATGGGTCTTATCTTGCAAAGTGCATAAAATCACTTGGGCACCTTAATCAAGAACATGAAAAGTTTTTGAAAATTTCTGTCATAGCCCAGTTGATGGTACACATGTTCTGAAAATCCTGCGATAACCGAAATCTGCTCGGCAGTTGCCATGTTCTTAATGAACCATATGTCGATTTTGGTACGAAATTTTGATTGGACTGTGCATAGACTCGTTAGTCCAGCCAAAATATGACTCGATATAATTCCAGCCTAGTTCAGCAAGGAAACTGGACTTATATATAGTCTGTGAACTCCCTGGCCTCAGGAAGGTGCGAATTTACATGAACTCAACTGCAGTGCCTCAAGCAGAAAGGCTACGGCTTGTGTTCTTTAAAGATGTAACATGTAACATAGATGGAACAATAAAGAATTGTCATGCGCAAAAAGGGTTAAGATTCATATGTACTAAGAATATTTCTGTTTTAGATGAAGCAAGTTCCCCGGTGAGTACAGATGAGTCCGAGAGAACAACTCCATCACCAACGACACCTTCCCCAGAACCTGATGTCCTGCGAGACACACCATCAGTGAGCGAGTCACCGAAAGATGATGGCGACACGTTCTCCTCTCACAGACTGACTTCGTCATTGCCTGAAGGTACACCTGTACATCCTCGCCCCCCTCTTCACTCTGTGAGGGAAGCCACTGCTACGTCCCACACTGCTGCGTCCCAGGCGAGGATTGCCAGCAGTGGACAGTCAACACAGAAGAAACAGCAAGTCACACAAGAGACTGCAGGGTTGCTGCAGATTCTGGAAAACCTACGATTAGGGAGCTGTGTACTCGTGGCCTTCTTCGTCAGATGGGTGCTATCATCTGGATATGGAATCTTCTATTTCCAGGTTTGTTGATTCTCCCAGATACTCTCATCCAGGATGCTTCATACAGTTTAACATTTGAACAATTTTCATAATCAAACATTTTGTCCATGAATGCAATTGTGTATTGGTTGAATATTTTCTGTGGTTTATTTGTTAGCCAGGGTAGCTTGTGCGAAATGTACTGCAAGAACACGTTTCACTAACAAATATTGAAAACTCCCCAAATCCCTGGGCTTAATCAACAACATTGTGGGTAGACATGACAGATCACTGAGAGGAGCTTATGCACACTTGATGACTTCAGCAACCCTGTTGCTAGGCTGACGTCACATTGTTTTGCAGGTGGATCTTAGGGTATTGTGACATGATTGTAAACTTTGTGGTGCAAGGCCTCGTTCTACAAGGCAATCATAGCTTACGATTGTCTCATGTGTGTGTTATAGTATAGGAGTTACAATTACCTGAGTGCTTCGATAGCTTTGTAGACTGCTGAATTCTAAAAGTAGGCTGTTGTAGGTATTCAATGATACATGTTTGAAGTAGTATTATGTAGAAAATTCAATTGGATTATGCTGTGGACCGTGTAGATGTCTGCCTATTCACAATTCACAATTGCCTATGCCAATTTTTAAAAAGCTGTAAGAGGCAAGTAATAAATATAATACTAAACTCGCTCCCGTGATGCTCGTCTGATACCAGAACTTGTCACTCATTTTATAAAATTGGTATTACACTGGAGCTTGTTTAGTATTCTATGTATGTATGTATGTATGTATGTATGTATGTATGTATGTATGTATGTATGTATGTATGTATGTATGTTATATTTCTGATAATATTTTTGTTTCAGTCTATCTTTTTGCCTTTTGTACTGCTACAAGTTGGACTGTATTCCTTTCACTACACATACATGAAGGTAGGGTCAATATGTTAATTAATATGAACATAATTTAGTTAAACAATCAGATCTGTGGTAACTGGTCCATGTACCTAATTACATGATGAAACGTCTCTCAATTTAGAATGTCATATTCATATTCATGCACAAAATCTGAATATGTTTTTAATGCAAGTTTTGTGAGTTAACATTCTGCAAGTTTGTGTTTCTCTCAGAAAATCACAATGAATTCATGTTTGTTACATTACAAAATATCTTTTCTTTCTAATCAGGATGTTGCCCTGCCTCACAATAGCTCGTTGATGTCAGGTGCTCTTGTGTTGTCGGGAATAAAGCCGGAGTTTGTTGCCATCTACAACAGAACAATGGGCTACTTCACTGCAGTCACGGAGGACTTTGCTCTGTATCTCTTCACGTTCCTCATATGCAATGCTGTGATGACATGAGTGGTGATGAGTTAACACCTCGGTGTTCGTGTGTGTGTGTGTGTGATGAGATTAGTGCTGTTTGTGTGAACTCCAGATTGACATCCCGGTGTCTAATTTAGTTCCTGTCATAGCTGACAAGGAATGGAATTCTCACCATTGGCCTGGAATGTCGGTTTTCTGTTCAGCTCACCTTAACCAAACATTTGTGTGAGCTTATGTCATGGTGCATCATCTGTATGTCTCCATATGGATAGGAGATATGCTACTCAAAATAAGTTGAAGAACACCCACAATTGGGAGGCTGTGTTACAACTGTCACCAGCCATTACAGATTAACTGCAGTCCTGAAAAAACTCAGCTTTTCTTTAACTTCTTTTTAAGTTGTATTTTAGCACAAATCGCACAAGATTAATAACATCACCAGATGACACCCAATTCAGGTGAGCTACAAGCTATGTGGTACAATCTACCATTACAAATGAACTATTTCAAGCAACATCCATACACATTCTGAAGTGTGACCAAACAGACGTCCAGAGTGGACGGGGTGAAACAGCTGTATAACTGATGATGTGTGGTTGAAGGAACATGCAGATGCCTTTCGTAACCATGTCAACATGGTTGTGTTGATCTCAAGGTCAGACAGTTTCTTAGCTGTGGCTCTAAAGTAATTTCATCATTTGCTTTCTGTATTGCATAGATGCATATGTATTCGCTACATAGTACGCTCATTAACGTCAAAGTCCTACATGTGTAGTTAACTTATCAGTATGCAGCTGCTATTTTAACAGCTCCAAACCAACTGTTGAGTCCAAGAATACTGGTTTGATGTTGAGTCATGGCCGTAAGATTGTTGCCACCTTCTTGTTAAGAATGAAAATGTGTCCTCAAGATGTGTTGGTTTGCCTATGCTATGTCACTATGTTTGTTGTGTAAAGCTGCAGTCAGCAATATTCCAGCTATATGACGACAGTGTATAAATAATCGAGTCTGGGCCAGACAATCCAGGGATTGAAATCATGAGCATCGATCCAAGCAATTGGGATACAACGACATGCATCAACCGAGTAGGCAAGCCTGACCACCCGACCTCGTTATTCGTCTCTTACTACAAGTATAGTCTCCTATTAGGTCAAGCATGGGTTGCTGAAGACCTACCGGTATTCTAACTCGGATCTTCACGGGTCTGTTGATTTGCCAGCTCAGCCCGAGGATGTTAAAGTGTCAGCTTGTGGCAGGAAGCACTGTTGTTTACTGGGCTGGTGATACAGGCATGTTGTTTGTTAGCACAAGTAACCATCTTCAAGCTGTAGACCAATGTGTTTTCTTGATCAACAGCTAGGTCTAGAAGTATCTCAAATTTCCAAATTGACACAAATAGTCTTTTATTGTAATTATGCATTTTAAATGCTTTTGTTTGTATTTAAGATGTCTAAAAAGAAATTAGTCTCAATTCAACCATGGGGGCGGTCGGGTAGCCTAGTGGTTAAAGCGTTCGCTCATCACGCCGAAGGTTCGATTCCCGACATGGGTACAATGTGTGAAGCCCATTTCTGGTGTCCCCCGCCGTGATATTGCTGGAATATTGCTAAAAGCGGCGTAAAACTATACTCACTCACTCAATTCAACCATGATAACATTTATTTCACCTACCGGGAAATCTTCGCGAGGCAAAGGAGTTGACTGAATGTAAAACTCTGGTTTCCACCCTGACTGAACTGAAATTTGGTGGACCAGTAGTGGAGCCACCGGGTTAGGGTTATAACGATTTATGTCCCTTCTATGTCCCTCCTACTGACCAATCAGTGTGTGTGTGTTAATTCAAGAGACACAAAGTGTTTTAATTGTGAAGATAAACTTATGAGTAATTCATCAAGTTACCATTGTTACTTCATCACATTTTCACAATCATGTTTATCATCGATATGCATGGAAAGATGTGCCTCTCATGGGCAGCTTGGTTTGAGAGAAGGCAAGGCCCCCTCCCAGAAGACGGACTCACTGTATCCAAGTTTTATTTTCATACTGTCAAGTGACATCATATTTACAAAGTAGGGAAGAGCTGAATAAAGGAATTTAAACATCAGCATTTGTTTATTTTGCTTATCATCTCAAATAAGGAAGGTGAATGACAACATGATTTTGTTTTATGAAATAGGCAACATGTACGATTCCAGTGGGTAGCTCTGACACAAGCATGTATACATTTAGTATGTCATTAAACACGCCTATGTTCCATACTGTACAGAAAATGAAAGCTAGATGAACAATGGCATTTGTTTGTTTGTTGTTTTAACAATCAGCAATATTCCAGCTATATGATGGCAGTCTGTAAATAATCGAGTCTGGACCAGACAATCCAGTGACTGACATGAGCATCGAGCCTGACCATCCGATCCCCTTAGTCGCCTCTTACAACAAGCATAGTCGCCTTTTACGGCAAGCATGGGCTGCTGAAGTAGATCAAATATGTCTGTCTACCTTACAGATGACAGACGAATATTTCTGACAAAGTTTCGCAGTTGATGCAGCAGAATACATGATGCGATAGACACTCAGTACTCAATGACTGGGCATGTTCATTAAAATTAGTTGTTGATTCGACTCAATGACAAGGCCAGCCAAACTGATGACTCCTTTTTTGTTTTGTATGTTTGTTGTATAACGCCGCACTCAGCAATATTCCAGCTATATGACGGCGGTCTGTAAAATAATCGAGTCTGGACCAGACAATCCAGTGATTGACATCATGAGCATCTATCTACGCAATTGGGATTGATGACATGTATCAACAAAGTCAGCGAGCCTGACCACCCGATCCTGTTAGTAAGCATCGGTTGCTGAAGACCTATTCTACCCCGGAATCTTCACGGGTCTGATGACTACTTGTGATATCATCCCCCATCCCCATACAGCACAGGCCCAATACATCACTCCTGCTGCTAGCCAGTATAATCTTAAGTAAATATCAAAAGGCAAAGATCCTTTGAAAAATTGGTCATGGTTGTCAGAGTGAATGTTGTTAACGATGCAGTCAATAGTCCAGCAATAGCAGCCAGTACATAAATCCTGTCAAGGCAATGAGCATCCCACTATGCCACAAGGAGATGCAATCGTTCAAATCACCCAATCTAATTTAGTTGCCTCAGCAATATGGTCCTTGGGACCTATTCTTACTTGTGTCCATCGCAGGTATCTTTAGGAAAGTGAGACAATTAATACAAATATTATTCTGAAGTTTCTTAAATGATTAAATAGTATTTGCAGTTTGAAATGCTCAAGTTGTGAGGTTGATTAGAACACATGCAAGATGATTGGACTGCCTGTGTAGTGTAATGGCAGCTATTTCAAACGTTGATCACCACCTGCAGCACAAACCGATAATATTGGTTTGATATATTAGTACAAGGTTAGATATTACACCCCACATTTGGCTGAGGTCAACTTTCAAACCAAACAAACTCATTTTCTGCGATATTTGTACAATATATTTATTTCACTCTCTTTTTCCCTTCCATACAAACGCAATTTACAAAGGCAGCACTCTCATGCAATGTAAACAATATAGAAATATTCACGCATACTATGTGTGATGAGGCATCCAGATCACTAGCCCCAGCCAGCATGGCAGTGTTACGCTACAGCACACAAACACATAATTAAACATCATGAACACAAGGTGGTGATGAAGATACACAGTTTGGCATGGAAACATCATTTATACTTAAAGACAAAAATATCATGATGGGTCATCAGGCTTATGTAAGCTAGAGACTAATTCCTCTAAGATCTGTATATATAATGTGGTTGGTTGGTTTGTTGTTTAACGCCACACTCAGCAATATTCCAGCTATATGATGGCAGTCTGTAAATAATCAAGTCTGGACCAGACAATCCAGTGATTGATATCATGAGCATCGATCCACGCAATTGGGACCGATGACATGCATCAACCAAGTCAGCGAGCCTGACCACCCGATCCCGTAAATCGCATTTTACAGCAAGCATGGGTTTGGCTAAGACCTATTCTACCCCGGATCGTTTATAAAATGTGAGACCATCACGGACACACAAGGGGTGCATGTGGTTTTATGCATTCGGTTTCATACCAGAAGCTGTAGGCGAGTGATACTGCAACAACAAATTTATCTTGCCGACTTGTTAAATCAGCCATGGTAAAAGAATTTACTCATTCAAATCACGCACACAAGACAGCATGGATAATGTACCCTGGGTACATGAGGATGCATATAAGGAGGACATGTTTTGATAATGGATGGCTCCTTACCATGATGTACAACCATCGAAATACAGTAACACAGTGTGTCATCACTTCCCTACTAATGCTGAAGACTCATCGACAGAAAGTTTTGATTTTCAGGCTTGTACAGTTGACAGCAGACAATGAGCACCCTGTCCATGAAGCTGGTCAGTCCGGGTCCCGATCGACACAATATCATTAAGATCAGGTCTCAGTTCTCACCACCGCAGAACAAAGATCGGAGAACATCCCATTATGGGTTACTCCATTACAGGATGCGAGAACTAAGATTTGGTTTTAATGAGATTGGAATCAATATGGAGCCGTCCATGTGTGGATCAACAGAGAGCCTTCACCAGCTTAGTTCTTTTGCAAACCATGCTTGTCGCAAAAGGCAACTAACACGATCGGGTGGTCAGGCTCTCTGACTTTGTTGATGCATGTCATCGTATCCCAATTGTGTGGATTGATTCTGATAATGTCAATCACTGAATTATCTGGTCCAGACTCGCTTATTTCCAGACCGCTGTCATATAGCTGGAATATATTGCTGAGTGCGGTGTCAAACAACAAACAAATAACATCACTAGCTAGTCCGTCCATGTCTGGATCAACAAAGAACTAGACTAGACTCTTGTTTTAAGATAGGGATTCTGCACAGCAGGTCTCTCACATTTAGAAATGATTGTTGTTGGCATTTGAACACTGTAATAATGTGCTCATTGTCATCTCAAGTGTTTTAATCAACAAGTGCTATTATTTAGGGATTAATTCAAGAATAAAGAAAAACTCATCCTTTTAATATCAACATTGTCAGATTGGATATAGTTCCCAACAAGATATGAGGTAGCACATGGAATGACTACATCTTTGGTCTGAATGCCCATGTATACTGGCAGCAATACATCCAGCGGGTAATGTCTACCATACTACACTAACTAGCACTGCCACGGCAAGGTTTAGGGACAACTATACTTGTCTGTCTATTCTATGGCTTTCAGTTTGCCTCATGAAGTGCATAAGTGCCCTTGTCTGACATCCAAAATTAATAGTCTTGATTCAGAACGATATATATACTTCTCAACTGATGTTAAATAACACGATCTTTTCTATTTCTGTTTTTTCTGTCATGCCATGGCAGTTTAACTTTGCTAAATGAAAGAATCGGGTGTTCTTCAACTTCTTTTGAGTAGCATATATTTGGTTCTCCCTGTGCATCGTGATGATTCAGTATGATACATTCCTGATGTCCAACATGCATCACGATTCAGTGTGATTCAGTGTCTCGCATTCCACACATCAACATGACATGGAGGTTACCTAACCACAACTGTAGGTCTTGGAAGCACCAGCTAATCAGTTTGTGTGGACTTGGTGTCGGTCTTTGTTGACTTTGACCTTGGTGTAGCTGCTGTTTTGCCACGTGTCTTTGTCTTAGCATTACTACCAGCTTTTGATTTAGCATTAGATATAACTTTCTTTGCTTTTTTTGCTTTCTTGACTTTCCTTGCCGGCGGCTTTGCTGCTTTCGTTATTTTGGTTTTACTTTTAATCCTGATGACATCCTCTCTCCCGATCGCCTTCATCTTGTCCTCCCAGACCTTCATCTCCATCTCATAGCGTTCCCGGTCCAGCCGAGCATCCTCATAGTAGATCTGAAACAACATATGTAGACATCACAGTTCACATACAGCATAGCATTTTCCCCACATTTACACTGCATATGTTGAGAGGAAGAACTCTTCAATTTTATTCAATTCCATATGGGAACTTTTTGCCAGCACCATACCGGTGCTCGTGGGTTTCACCAAAGTGGTAAACATCTGAGACGTGCATCACTTCGGGCTTTCCTTCCACATATGGCCGACACGCCATGATATAACTGGAATACTGTTAAAAGTGGCGTTATACGGAACACACTCACTATATGTGAACTTAGAATACACCTGGGCCCCACAAACACACACACAGATTACACATACACACACACAGATTACACAAACACACACACAGATTACACATACACACACACAGATTACACATACACACACACAGATTACACATACACACACACAGATTACACATACACACACACAGATTACACATACACACACACACAGATTACACATACACACACACAGATTACACATACACACACACAGATTACACATACACACACACACAGATTACACATACACACACACACAGATTACACATACACACACACAGATTACACATACACGCACACACAGATTACACATACACACACAGATTACACATACACACACAGATTACACATTCACACACACAGATTACACACACACACACACACAGATTACACATACACACACACAGATTACACATACACACACACACAGATTACACATACACACACACACAGATTACACATACACACACACACACAGATTACACATACACACACACAGATTACACATACACACACACACAGATTACACATACACACACACACACAGATTACACACACACACAGATTACACATACACACACACACAGATTACACATACACACACACAGATTACACATACACACACAGATTACACATACACACACACAGATTACACATACACACACACAGATTACACATACACACACAGATTACACATACACACACACAGATTACACATACACACACACAGATTACACATACACACACACACAGATTACACATACACACACACAGATTACACATACACACACAGATTACACATACACACACACAGATTACACATACACACAGATTACACATACACACACACAGATTACACATACACACACACACAGATTACACATACACACACACAGATTACACATACACACACACAGATTACACATACATGCACACGGATCTCTCATTTTCAAGCATGGTTTTCAAGCACACTGGTTAAGTATCCTATAGAAGTAATTGCTGCATAAATAGATGTGCTTGCCGTTGTTTCAATAAAATATTAAAACAGTCATTTTCAGCACTTGGACTACCTTTAAAATAGTTCTGCCACTAAAACTGTAATAACTAAAAACTATACAAAACAGTACAAATGGCACAAAGTACTGGCGGACTAACTTCCCACAAAGCCGCCGCCATACAGACTCTACACATGGTGGGGAAACGTCACATATGATACAAACCTCCTTTTCATCTTGCGGCAATGTTTTCCAGTTCTCAACCAAACGCTGGATGACAGTCTACAAACACAAAGTAATGGACAAATGAAAATATAAATGGAGTCATTAACATCATCTTAAGCCAAAGTATCACTGAACTGAGGCAGTGGAGAGCTATAGTCCAATCATCAAATATATCACATTATATGTAAGTCGTAAGAGGCGTCTAACAGGATCGGGTGGTCAGCCTCGCTATCTTGATTACGTAGATCGATGTTCATGATGTTAATCACTGGATTGTCTGGTCCAGACTCGATTATTTACAGAATGCTGTCATAATAGGTGGAATGTTGCCGAGTTTGGCGTTAAACAAAACAAACATAAGAATAGTGCCAGAGCACTGTAGCTCACCTGGATATGTAATCAACAGTACAAAATGTCCAATGTATTGGTGTCAACATTGCTACTCAATTATTTCCAGAATACTGAGGAAAAAACTGATATAACTTCCTCAATTTAAGAGATGTTTACAGAGCCACAGATGCATTTTGGGAGCATTACATATTAAGCAGAAATGGCCTAGTAAAGGCGATACACAGCCATGATTCGAGGTTAGGTGAGCTAACAAAATGTGATCTCAATTCCTTTTTACCACAGGTTGAAACCATGACACTTGTACGACAAGCATGGCCTCCTGGGAAACTCTCCTGTTTGTTTGTTTGTTGTTTAACGCTGCACACAGCAATATTCCAGCTATATGACGGCGGTCTGTAAATAATCGAGTCTGGACCAGACAATCCAGTGATTGACTTCATGAACATCAATCCACTCAATTAGGATCAATGTCATGCATCAACAAAGTCAGCGAGTCTGACCACCCGATTCTGTTAGACGCCTCTTACGACAAGCAGTCGCCTTTTACAGCAAGTGTGGGTTGCTGAAGACCTAATCTACCCCAGGTCTTCACGGGTCTGGGAAGCTCCCCTGACTCGGAATCAATCCCTCAGGGCGAACAAAGTGAACCTGTGTTGGTGACATATTCATGTGAGTTACACCATGTATGTCGTCTCATGCAATCAGAGTAACTCCCACGTACTTACTGTTGGATTGGCGCCTCTTGTCTCAAGTCGGGAAGATTTCACAAAGAGCAAGAATGCATTTCGAATACTTTTTGGCTTGCCAAGACTCTTCAATTCCTGTAAAAAAACACAAATGCAGTTCACAGAATAAAAATACTGGTACTACTTACAAAATGAACCTGGTTCAACCTGGTCATAACACCCTACTTTCCAATGTACAAAAGGTGGCATCATAACCAGGTTGTCCTGCTTTCCAACGTTCAAAAGGTGGCATCATAACCAGGTTGTCCTGCTTTCCAATGTACAAAAGGTGGCATGATAACCAGGTTGTCCTGCTTTCCAACGTTCAAAAGGTGGCATCATAACCAGGTTGTCCTGCTTTCCAACGTTCAAAAGGTGGGATTATAACCAGGTTGTCCTGCTTTCCAATGTACAAAAGGTGGCATTATAACCAGGTTGTCCTGCTTTCCAATGTACAAAAGGTGGCATTATAACCAGGTTGTCCTGCTTTCGAATGTTCAAAAGGTGGCATCATAACCAGGTTGTCCTGCTTTCCAATGTACAAAAGGTGGCATGATAACCAGGTTGTCCTGCTTTCCAACGTTCAAAAGGTGGCATCATAACCAGGTTGTCCTGCTTTCCAACGTTCAAAAGGTGGGATTATAAGCAGGTTGTCCTGCTTTCCAATGTACAAAAGGTGGCATTATAACCAGGTTGTCCTGCTTTCCAATGTACAAAAGGTGGCATTATAACCAGGTTGTCCTGCTTTCCAATGTACAAAAGGTGGCATTATAACCAGGTTGTCCTGCTTTCGAATGTTCAAAAGGTGGCTTAGTGTTGGCAAATCAATCAGAAAATCATCGGGTGGACATGCCATTCTGTTGGTGATAGGAATGTTCCTCGATCAGAAGTTTAGTGTTAGCAATAGGAGCAATATCAACTGGGTACAGCCCATCCTGGTCATACAATCTATTGTCCTTCCGGTGTATTACCAGGATGGGCTGTATGACCACCTTGAATTCGAGGTTGTTGATATTGTGTCGCTTTTCTTTTGATAGAGGTGTTAGGGTCAACAGGGGCCTCGAAGGTAGGAACAGAATTGGTGGAGGTTGATCGGGACAACGGAGACCTCCGAGGTTGGAACAGAACTGCTGGAGGTGTAGGGTTAACAGGGATCTTGAAAGATGGAACAGAACTGTTGGAGGTTGACTGAGACAACAGGGACCTCCAAGGATGGAACAGAACTGCTGGAGGTGTTTGGGTTAACAGGGATCTTGAAGGATGGAACAGAACTGTTGGAGGCTGACTGAGACAAAAGGGACCTCCGAGGTTGGAAGGAATTGGCAGGGGTTAGTTGGTACAACAGCGGATAGGACTAATATCAGTTGTTTATGCATACCCTTTTCTTTCTGATCTTGGCAAGCTTCTTTCTGCGAAGTTGCCTCTGCTCATCCATTCTGTCCCTCTCCTCGGTTGTAAGGCTTTGGAGATAGAGTTGGTACTGCCGCTGATATTCCCTGTAACGCTCACGCACTTCACCAGTTCTTTCCTGCAACAATCAAATAACACAGGTCCTGCAACTAGAAACACTTTATGAATGTCAATACTTAAATCTATTCCCAATGTAGTGTAAGGCCAAGAACAAAAAACATTTCGAGAGGCAATGCACACTAACATGGTTCCACAGAATGAAAAGGTACTAATGAAGTGGGAAATAAATCTTCGAAAACTTGTTTCTGTATAAAGCGTCTGAGAACAAAAAATTTTGGAAAAGAATTTTGACTCTTACAAAAATACACCCTTTTTCAAGGTCTTACTAAACTTGTAAACAGTTTAAAGAAACTTTCCAATGACCAATGTGTTTTTAATTGGTTTTAAATTAAATGCAAAATACTAAACACTTATCTCAGGTCCCACGTGACACTACTCACATCCTTCTCCTGTGGGTCCAGCTGATGCCACCTCTGACTTGCTATCTTGAGAGACTCTCTTCTGCTCACACCTGTTCAGAAACATACAATACATATTAGGGCTGCCACAATACACCAACTGTGCCATCCAATACATAACACAATACCTTACTTACGATCTGATATGTATAATGATCCTTGCATGTCCTCTTATCTGTGGTGCGTAAGCCATATTTTTCATAGACAGGATGCCAAATACCTGGCACACTAATGATTTACAGTTGGCAGGGTCAAGTATGGTGCAGTAGATGAAAATACTTACGTTTTCACTTAACATTTTCACTATTAATTTGGTGTTTGGTGTAACATTTATTGAAGAATACATTTGAGGTAAGAATCGTTGTTTTATCTGTGTGTGCAATTGTGATTGATACTTGTATCTAGGAGTAAAAAATTGTGATCCATCGATGCATTAGTGCACCGTCCCACTACTATAACACACATACACAACCTCACACCTTCACAGATGCATCATACGTCACCTGGATTAAATGTCCGAATTCTGATGTTCATTCTATTTTTTGTGGCCTGCATGTTTTTCAGATACGTTCTGATTCCAGTTTCATGAAATGTAACTCCAACTTACCAGGATTGTTTTCTAATATTTCAGCAGTTTGAGAATGGGCAAATTCAAGGAAGGCCCCAACAGGTCTCTTTGGTGGTGTTTGGGTATTGCAACGGGATGATACGACGAGATGACGCAGCTGGGAGGGGCATCTGCAACAAGATTCTTAACTCATACAATCTACTCAAGGCTTTAAAATATTATATAACTAAAATAAGAAAATGGAGCATATTTAGAAATGTGACAATAGTCATTTTATCCTAAAGTCATGACTTTTCAGACAGATTCCAGATAAACAGCGATGTGCATCGAAGCCACTAAACTCCTCACATCATCAACAAAGTTCAGTTGCATTCTAGTCCTAAGTGTTTATTGATGCTGTGGACAATCAAAGATTGTGAACTTTTGTGCTTTCAAGGACTGACTGGTCGTACATAGAGACGTTTCCCTGAATTAGGAATGTTGTTTTTTGATGTTTTACGCCACACTCGGCAATATTCCAGCTATATGATGGTGGTCTGGAAAAAAAAAAAATCGAGCCTGGACCAGATATTCCTGTGATTGACATTATGAGCATCGACCACACAATTAGGATACAATGCCCTGCATCAACCAAGCCATATCCTGTTAGTCGCCTCTTATGACAAGCATAGTCGCCTTTTACAGCAAGCATGAGTTGCTGAAGACTAATTCTATCCCGGATCTTCACAGGTCAAATAAAGAATGATTCTGAGCAGATTATTTTATTGTGTGTGGTTTAACACTCTAACCCAGATCTTAACTGGTTATGGAAGGAGCTTCAGAACAAACAAAACTTGCCTCCTGTAACAAGCTAGTTCAAGAAGCTGTAATTACCAGTATGCTACCTTTGAAGAGAGTTGGAATGAAGAATTATTTCTAGCTACACCTACAACCATCCCAACATTGATCAACAGGATTGAAGATCACAAGTCTTAGTATACTTCCAAACTCACTTCTGGAGACTGTGAAAAAAAAATCATGTTGCTAAATTCAACATGAAGTGTTCAAGTGGTCATGAACTGTTGGGTGTCAAAAAGATATACAAGGATTATGACAGTCAAAGTCGATGCCCATGACAATAATGCATCAGTAACAAAATTTGTTCGAGAAAGAGGCAATACTGAAAATGCTAATGACACCTGGCATATGTCAAAATCGATAGCCAAACAGGTGTGCAAAATTACAAGTGGGCCAAAACGATGGGCAGAAAAAGACTGGCATCATCAACTCTCAGACAAAGCTGTGTCAATCAGGACGCATATATATTATTGTCTGAAAAAGGCAATATCTTGAAAGTGTATGGGAGTTACATTTCTCATGTTATTTTTCCCTTTTATCACTCTGTCCACTCTATTAGTAACATACTCAGTGAAGAAGCAAAGTAAGCTATGTCTGTATCATGTGCTTTTCTAAATTTAGCCTAGATTCCCTGACAGAGAGCCTTTCTATAAGCTGTCCACTTCCAGATACAGCCAAGGCCACTCCCTCACTGGCCAGGAATGTCCCAGGTAGGTGCCTAACGTAAGTTGCAGCTTTCAGCAATGTTAGACAAGCATGGGTGATGGGTTGCTGAAGACCCAGGTCTTCAGGGGTCTGCTGGTAAACGCAATACCATTGTCCGATTCATTGACATCCAGAATGTACTTTAAGCATTGTTTGGCATTATATTCATGAAACTGAAAAACATTAACGCCTAAACTTGTCAATGGACACATATGGATCCAGGCGCCCTTCAGATTCAACTTGAACAGTTTTGACATTATTGATATTTATCTCGCACACCCAACACACAAACTCTGCATGCTCGACTCTATCTAAGCTCTTTCGCCAAAAAATGTCATAGAAAGGTAGATAATTGACACACGTATTCATTAGTTGCATAAACTGTGGCTGTACCTCCAGCATAGTGACGCATGCTGCCTCAACGATAACTCTAATAACCCACTGGCACGTGTGACGGCCATTTTGCGTGGGCTGGCGCGCGGTCGGGGATACTTCCTTGTGCAATGTTGAAAATAAGCAACGAAGTCAAATGTGCGAAATATCAGCTGATAATGCTTAGTAATTGAAGAACATCTATACTCTATTTTTTTTGTCAGTTTAATATTTGTAAGAAAGAACATATATATACAGCAACGTCAACACAAATATTAGTTCATATCTTTCGATAATAATTACTCCCTTTGACGTCATATTTCCGTAAACATTGATATATTCTGTATAAATTATCACCGCTTTCCTTTTCTGCCATTTGGTGTCAGCTGTCACAAGCCTAAAGCTTTCAGTTTTTGTCAACTATAGAGTAAATACGTCCTAACAGTTTTGAAAGTTAAGTTATGATAAAATTTCTACGGATATCGGTCTTAGTACCGATAATCCTCGTTGTTTTGCCAACATGCTTCAGCTTCAAGTTTATCCACCACAACTATGAGTCTATGCTCGATGTCATGTATGATGCCAATGCGCGATGTCCAGAGATCACGAGAATCTACAACCTCAGTGAACCATCAGTGCGGAACAGAAGTCTGACTGTCATCGAATTCTCTGACAACCCCGGAACACACGAGACCGGTAAGAGATTAGAAATAGGCTTTCCCAAATGCTAATAGTCCTGAATGCCTGAAACACAATGTATTATCTCTGGTCATATGTGAGCACCGTAGCCAGCATGGTCGGTGGTTCTAACATGTCTTTCTTGCAGTAAGGGTATTTTGATTTACTGTGTTGTCTGTTTTGATCTGTTATTCAGTAAATTGTGTTTGAATGTTGATCTTTTTAAGATATTTATTGGGATGGTACTGTTCATTTAACCTAACATATTTTCTTACTCTAGTATATCAAAAGTTCATTACATTGTGTAAACATTTGTGATTAGGGTGATAATATTTGTTACTTTAAGCATATTAGATATTTAAATGGAAAATGTTGTAATATTACCCCAACATATATATCAGCAACTTTATCATATAATCAATAGGTTTCTGGACAGGATAATGTCAAGCGATATCCTTTGGGGTCATTGACAAATACATATGCAAATAAAAACAAAACAGTGTTTGCAAACAAACATGGTGTTGCCCTAGTCCATTGGCTATTGAGTCAGAATTGACCATCAGAAATCTAGACAAAGTGCTGTGATAATTGTTCTTGTTATCATTATCTAAATAATAGTCTAAGATACTAAATATCAGTATCTGACACGACTTAGCAGATGCCTTTTACATATGTAGCCACAATTTGAGACCAATAAAGTTATTTAGCCAGGACAGTAGGGGTGTCAGTTTCCATGCCTGTGCTTGTTGACCTCTGGGGCTTGAAGCTTTTCCCGTTTGTTTCCTGTTGCGTTTGTTTCATTTTGTCACTGTGTGGGACATGTGACTGCATTTCACAACGTTTGGACGATGTGACGACCAGCCAGTCACTCACATGAAGTTGCTGACACCCTAATTTCCTGATTTACAGTATCTGTCTTGTTGTTCAATACAAAGTTGTTGTCACATAGTACTTTTGGCTTCTTTATATTGTCATTCTTGCAATTGCTAATGTTGGCGTGTACAATAGAAAATGGTAATTTTCTGTATGGAAAAAATGTCCTACCAACAAACCCAACATCAAATTTCTCGGACATGTTTCAAGAAACAGATATATTTTTATTGACCATAAGTACAATTCAAGTAATATTAATGTAATTGCAGCAAAGGTTGGGGGATTAATATCTCTATTTTAGGAGTTACATGCAATTTGTAATGTCTCCTCAATGATGTATCAGCAGTGAGGTAGATGATGCCTCGCTCCATCATATTTTCTTCTTCCCAAAAGTTCAATCACTTCAAAGGTTTTATAATAGATTAGTATCTATAAATAAAATATCTAATTAAATGAAGTTTTGGAAATAGTTTGCAAGTAGCTGTAAGTGACAGAATGTGATGGATATTAGGTGTAGAGTTACCCACCAGTCAACCCACGCACTCCACTCGGCTGGAAGGCCACCCACAGTCTTGACTCTGCCAAGAGGCCGCTCTTCCCCACACTCATCTCAACTCAACCAGGAGGCCGCCCACCCCCACACTCAACTCTGCCAGGATGCTGCACACCCACACACTCAACTCTGCCAGGGTGCTGCACACCCACACACTCAACTCTGCCAGGGTGCTGCACACCCACACACTCAACTCTGCCAGGATGCTGCACACCCACACACTCAACTCTGCCAGGATGCTGCACACCCACACACTCAACTCTGCCAGGATGCTGCACACCCACACACTCAACTCTGCCAGGATGCTGCACACCCACACACTCAACTCTGCCAGGGTGCTGCACACCCACACACTCAACTCTGCCAGGATGCTGCACACCCACACACTCAACTCTGCCAGGATGCTGCACACCCACACACTCAACTCTGCCAGGATGCTGCACACCCACACACTCAACTCTGCCAGGATGCTGCACACCCACACACTCAACTCTGCCAGGATGCTGCACACCCACACACTCAACTCTGCCAGGATGCTGCACACCCACACACTCAACTCTGCCAGGATGCTGCACACCCACACACTCAACTCTGCCAGGATGCTGCACACCCACACACTCAACTCAACCATCAGGCCGACCACCCAAAAAGAATTAGAAAATCATTTAGAAACTGTTATAATGAGCACTGGAAAGAGTTGCCATGGAGATCCCAAATGATTTTTAGGAAGAAAAAAATCTTCAAAGCTTTTCAGCCTTTGATAAATGATCTCGGAATCAGTGGGTACATGTTTTGCTACTGAGTAGGAATGAATCCACAAGTTGTTGTCAGGAAGACGCTGAGCATAATGAGACTTGGTTGAAGTCCTAATTTACTTGGCAACTGGGAATATGAAGCCTGACATTAACCACTGTCTTTTTAGAGTCTGACAAGAGGCAGGAGTAAGAGGCAGGGAGGAGAGAGAGGAGGGGGAGGGAGGCAGCATGGTATCAGACCTACAAGTGAATTCATGTCAGCCTGTTGTTTGTAGGATGGATATAGATGGCCAGATGGTGGCCACCTGCACTGCCATCCCCAGATATGAGTCGGGCATAGTGAATAGTCAGTTACACCAAAGCTAATTCTAATTCCCAGGGAGTGGCTATCACTGTTGTTGTTCATGGTGCCATTGTACAAAGCAATCTTAGTGCTAAGGTGATTGTAACTCCCATACCATAACATAGACTTATGACAGTTTTGTACAACAGCACCCATGTGAATTGCACAAAGTGACCTGCCTGAGACCATCAGAGTGTTGGAAGCTCTAGACTCCAATTATCTTTTTAACGCGACAATCAAGTTGATCGAGTGTTAAGAATAAAATTGCATTTATTGAAACAGTCTAATTAAAGAATTATCACCTCAAGCCCCCATCTGATTTATTGCTGGTTCCATATTCCGAGCCATGTGTGCAAAGTTGGGATGAAATCAGCTGCACATCTCCGAGCAAGTATTACACAGTTGCCCATGAGATATTGATGTGTGTATATGGGCAGTTAAACCCTCCAGTCAATGTTCAGCCAGGTGCTAGGTATGGGTTAGACCATGAGGACCCATGCAGTGTCTAATCGTTGAAATGGTTAATTAAATCATGAGACACTGTGAGATTACTGTGTAAGTCGGCCATGTGTGAAGCACGTGAAATCTGTCCCCCAAGCCTTTCGCATGTGCACCTCGCACCATCGCTGATGTGCGTTATGAAATGCATGTCCCAGGAAAAGGATATCATTCTTTTGGACCAACTCGAGCACTGTTATCAATCACCGAAATATTATTTGTCTATGTTGATGGGCCTATTATGAGCAAACATAGCCCTGATCAAGATAATAGTAATTTTGTTTCTATCTGTTCATTTCATTGAACAAAAAAGCTACCAAATCACAAGTACTGTACAAATACTAGAATGCATAGAATAACTTACTGTGTAAAAAATGCATAAAACACATTTCGCAGTTCATAAACGGATAAGCAATTAGTCCTGATGTAACTAAATATTAAGTTGTTTATTTCACACAATTTTTTCCATGTCAACGTGGCAGTAGACTACATTTGTTAACCTTCCATGCAGACTTCGCGGGTTCGAATCTCGCTGGCGAGAGCGCTTTTTATGAAATTGTTCTATCATCAAGATTAATGATAGGGAAAAAAAGAAGTTCTGTCATTGCTAAGTGGTGTACTAACAATTCAGTTAGTTTGACCATGGTAAAAGACAAAGGAGCCAATACATGTTGTGCATGTTACACCCTGACAGGACAGTGTATTGATCCAGGGATAGTGGGAGAGGAGGAACAGTTTGATAACCTGCCTTACCGAGGGACACTTCACCCAGGTGATTCCTGGCTATAACTGGTCCCCAGCAACCTATGCTCGTGAGACGAAGAGGTGACTTAATGGATGGAGTGTTCAGGTTCGGTGACTTGGTTGATGGCATGTCTTCATGGTCAGACAGCTTGGATCTTTGCTCATATTATTAAGCACTGGATTCTTCTGGTCCACCTGCACATGCACTCACATGCACACAGTAACACTAACTGCCAAAGTACAGAATGAAGTTGAACTGGTTGCATAGTATACTGAATGTCACCTGCACTTTGTCGTCACACAGTGTGTGTGTGTGTGTGTGTGTGTGTGTGTGTGTGTGTGTGTGTGTGTGTGTGAGACAGGGAGGGGGGAGAGAGAGAGGTGGGGAGGAAGACAGGGAGGGGGAGAGAGAAAGGGAGGGGGGAGAGAGGGGCAGGGAAGGGGGGGCTGGGGAGAGAGTCAGAGAGGGGGAGAGAGGTTAGGGGAGGCGCACTCACCCATTAACACTAGCTACCACAGTACAGAATGAAGTTGCTAGTTGCTTGGTATGCCTGACAGCTGGTGGTTTGAGTGACATACAGCTGCACGTATACTTAAACTCTGACGAGCAGCTCGTTTTATCCAATTAACCCTTGTTACAAAACATTACTAAACGTGTTGATCAGTGGGCTTATCAAATACACAGGTAAATATCAATAGCATGATTATAGGATTAATGAGCTTTCTCACTTCGGGTTTGTCCCCTTTGTGACATAATATGTGTGGCAGGTGGATCATTAGGACATCAATATGAGAGCCTTGTCTCTATTATACAGTCTGATTGCTCTCACCGACATCTCACCACTGTTCTCATGAAATACCAATTTTTATTCATGATTCATATATGGTAATATGGTGGTGTAAAGTACAATATCGATCCAGTTTCTTTCGTAATTCAGGCCACAAAGCCCATAGTACTGTTTTAAGATAAATTATATTCACTTCAATTGTCCAGAGTGTTACATCTTTGACGATCTCATTTTAGATAATTTACATAAATATAAAGCTACCAAGCATATTACATTAACATAATATTACCTTTATAATATTTCTGTGATGAGGTAAAAAAATCTATTTGGCAAGTGAATATATTTCTTACATACAATAAAGACATGGTATTCATCCTCTACTAAATGAAGGTCACAGTCTTTACATATAGATTCTGTATCAGGTATATTTAACAATGACCTTTACGAATAATGTTGACTCGAAA